ATTGACATTCTGAACTCAAGGAATAATGAGGGGTCAGAAATGCCTCTTTTCTTACATGGAAGAAAGAACATAGAGGAATGGTTTCTAATCAAAGTACTTGAAGCCTAGTCAAGAATCTAAAGGATTAACAACTCAGTACTCATCTTCAATGGAAAGCAATTGAAAATGCACCTTAGAGATGTTTGATTAGAAACTCAAAAGAATACATTTTCGTGATTCATTACCTTACAACAGTCCTATGACAATTTACATACGGAAAACAGGTTGAGATTGCTAGCTGCTGAGTTTCAGAAAATGTTTAGAAAAGTCCAGCCTCCTCACTACAATCATAGGACGTTGTAAGGTAAAGAGATTAAAGTAGGGTCACATGTCCTTAACTACCCCTTGGAAAAGCTCCCCAGTGTGGGCATTCCTCCAATTGATAATTCCCCACTGTAGTGCAGAATCTCTCAAAACAGTGAAGAAGGAGCCCTGTCCGTGGTGCTTGGCCACAGGGCTGGGCCACCAAGAAGGCTACTGTGCCTGCACCTGGTCACAAAACATTAAGTAAGATCAAAACAAATTGAAAACAAACCAGACAGCAATCCAACAAAAAACCCCAACAAACGAAAAAAAAAACACCCAAACAAAGCAAACCAGGAAAAAACCCAAAGAAAAAAAACAATCAAAAAAAACCAAAGGCCTCATACCATTGCCAGAAAACGTGTATTATGATAACAGGGCTTTCACCTGAGTCTTCAAAGTCATCTTCAGAACAGACTCTTGTTGAAAAGGTTAAGTAGGCTTTTATTCCAGGAGGAAAGCACAGAGGGCCAGAATTCAAGTAGGCCTGTTGCAAAGCAATGTTTAACACTTGGTATCATCCTTTGATGCAGAGTCTGCTCCATGGGGCCTCAAGTGACAATATGTCTTTTCCCTACATAAGGGCTATCCATTCCTGCCTAGTGATGGAGCACTGCACACCTATAAAGGTTGTCAGCCAGGGGAGTTACCCTGTTCCAGCAGCACTGTTTCAGATGGAACGGCTTCTGAAAAATAAAAGAGCAAAGACCTTGCCTACCTTGGTAACACAAAGCCACCTTATCTGGTTTCAAATTTGCTTTACTGCATAAAAACAGCACACATTCATGGTCAGAGGCCTCCTGGCTCCCTCCTCTTCAGTGGGGTATTTCTGATCACTTCCCATTAGGCCTGAACATTAATATGTCTAATCTGTCAAGTGGATGATTACTACCTTGAAACACTTTGAAAAGGAAAGTACACACAGCAATGTCAGGCACTAGTAATGGTTTGTTCCTATCACAAAGCTTGCCAGTTTCTTTCAACTACGACCAATTAAATAAAAAAGATGTCCCACTTCAAATCAAAAACCAGGAGAAAGCCCAAAAAGTGTGCTGTGAGAACTAACTCCTCCTGGGATGGAAAAGAAATTATCCCTATCTAGTTACATCTCACCTAGTTACAGCTGAGACATGTATGGCACATTCTGCTGCTGAGTCCTCTATAGGGCACAGCAGAATAGAAGACTGGCTCTTTCAGGAGGGACCGTACCTCTTAAGGCAGCTTTAATTTTGGGATTAAACCCCAGTGCTTCTCAGATGTGAACCAATATGAGAATAAACTAATTTCAGGAAGTCTGATCCACACCTTCCCAGAGTGTATTTTTTATCCAGAGCTGTAGAAATAACCGATACAAGAGTTTACAGGTATCTTGCTTTGCTGTGTAAAGACCCTACATTATAGGGTGACAGCAGAAGCCACTGAAACTACAAGATGAATGTACATACGAATATAGACTACAACCTGAAACCCTGCCTGCACTAAGCATCACAACACCTAATCTTTTTGTGGCAAAGTGAACTGCTGAAGACCTAAATGTCAAAAGCAACAAGCAGGTGAGCATCACTTGAAGAGACCAGACACCTCTTGCAGCCAGTATTTCACTCACATCCTTTGCAGTGGGTTACTTTCATATCATGAGAAAGTATAATAACTTAAATCACACAGTGAAGAGTCTGGATTCTGTTCCAAAAATGTCTCTATAGACTGTCTTGTCCATCCAGACTTGTTTGAAACATTATGTGGGAGAACTCCACGACTGGAAATAAGAAACTCCTTGCTCTCCAAGCTTGACAGCTGTGATAAAAAGGCACTTAGGTCAGAGGAGAAGGCTGACTGCACACATCTTAACTTCAGTTGCTCCAGCTGAGTAAGGGAATGATGGCTGTTCTCACCCATACAATGAGGTACAAACAACTTGTTTCTCAGAGGGGAAAGAACCATTTTATTGAGAAAATAATTTCATTTTAGGTTCCAAAAAAGGCACATCTACACACCAGAACACAAACTAAAGCTAATTATACATTTGCGACAAAATTTAGCCTAACAGCATATAGCATTGTGTTGAAAATCAGACCATTAGGAAAGAAAACATACTCATTAGACACTATGAGTTGGACAAACATCCACAGAAAAATATAAAATAGTTTAGCCTGATTTTCCACCCAGTTAATCAGTCCTGAAGCCAATGGAATCATGGTATCATTAAGCAGATTTCTCTAAAGAGCTCATTACAGCTCATACTGCTTTAATAACCTGCCTATGTGTCAGAGAAGCTGAAGAAAAGAGAAATTTTCAGGATTGAAGGAAAATTTAAAAAACACATTCTGAGTATCAAGCAGTTAAGGAAATATTAAAATTCATATGAACAAGTAATGTCAAGGTGGTGACAAAGAAGCATGACCATATTTTCTTCTCAGTTTTGAAGTAAAAAAGCACATGAGCATGTGATATACATAAGAATTACTCTCTCGTATTATGGTCGCACTATAAAAAATACTAGTAATTTGTTTCACTTAGAAGTGCTATTTTTAACCGACTATATTATGTACAGAATCCCATTTCTAGCAAGAAAAAAGCTAAAGAAATATTGCCTGAGAAACTGAAGAAAAATAATACAATTGTTAGGCATTTTATTGTTTCTGTAGATCTTTAATATGTTAATAACAGATATACCCTCACGAGTGGAAGTTTACCACTGCATAAGAAACTTAAGTTAGGGAATTATATGCATAATACTGTACTAAACATTATTACAAAAAGGAAAATCATTTAGTTATTGGAAGAGTAGATAAAAGTGCAAAATCAAACTGATAATTAAGGACAACAATGACATCTAGTGGACACTGGGAAAACTGACCCGCAGATAACAGGGAAAAGATTCAACTGCCGTTACTGTTTTTCATACAGTGATCAGCTCCCAAATTGCTACAATACAATTCCGAAGATGAAAAGACAGAATTTGCTGCTGATTAAAATCACAGTAATGTGATAATTAATTTCTTTCAAAAGAATATTTAATTAAATAATTTAAAAAAAAATAAATGTCAAGACCTTTCCATTTAAGATTTAGGATAAAAGTAAAGGTCAAAGCTTAAGAGAACATCACAAATCATTGAAGGGACATAGTGCTAACATAAGAGGCGTACATCTTTGCTACACTTTTTCACTCCCACTGCATCTACAACCTTCTACTTATGTGTCACTTTTGGGACATCAAACTGTTGGGACTGAAAGTGAAAACAATTAAAATCCCAGAAATAAAAATTCAAGCCACTATTTAGCATCTCCCTTTTCTTGTCATTCCAATCCTTCTGTTATTGTAATACCTGCCATATAACGCTGGTACGTTAAACCTTCTAAAGTATCTGCCAGTAGCTGCTGAGCTCCAGAGAAGAGGAATTTGAAACATGAGGCCCCAGAGACTCAAAATTAGCAAAGATACCTGCTTATGAACAACCTGATTAGTTTACAAAGTGGACGTCTAGTAAGATCATAGATTAATTTAAATCTGCTTTTACTACTTAGTAGAAGGTAAGCAAAACTAAGCAGTTAAAGCAACTCAAATCTGATCTCAGTTGTTCTGGCTAGAAGCATCACCAGGAAAAAAATATTGGTTTGACTATTACACTTTTGTAAATAAAAACATTAACAAAACACTACAACTCTATGTGTCATTCAAAGTCTTAAGCATGTCTTCAGAACTGGAAATTGGATTTTGCGTCATATTGTTAAAAAACATTATCCCTTTCACAATTTTTACATCTCAGTGACTGTCCAATATAAAAAAAAAAAAAAGCTTTGCAAAAAATTATAAACTGTACTCAAAAGTAAAACATCATTAATGAACATATCTGACTGTAAGTTACATTACTTTCCATTTAAGTTGGTATCTTATTTGCTTTGTATATGATTACAGAAAAGTTTGTTGCAGTTCCACTAGCTCTCACCACCAGCAGCTGCTGGAGTCAGCTATTAGCGGATATGGAGCAGATTCTCCCTTACACAAAGGTTCTCTAACCAGCAGAATACAAAGAAACCTTTGTAGAACTGATTATCTGCCTTTTTGTCCTAATTTTTTTTCTAGGGTCTCAAAGTTACATTTGAATCAGATGCTGCCAGTTAGTAAGAGCATATGCAGCCTCCCAATAACGAAATCCAGACTCCAAAATATTTATGCACCATACACAGCCATAATTAAAACCTGTAGTTTGAAATGCTGAGTCCTAGTGATGAGACTCAACAGCTGACCAAGTCACTAATGAAAAAAAAAAAACCACGCACTTCAGTTAAGTCTAAAAATGCAAGTATTTAAAAGCTAAGTTTCCCTTTCGATGAATGGACCTTCAGGTATTTTATGAGATCAAAGTTTAACCAGCTCTAAACAGCCCACTCTGGAAACCCCCACCCCTCTCTTCCATTACAGGATCCATGCATCAAGTCCATTATAACAATTTCGGCAATGGAGCCTGATTAAAAACCAGAAAACAGCCGAGTAAATTTAAGAGGTAAAACCTAAAAGCAAACATCAAAATAAACCCAGCTGTTTTCCCACTTCAAGCATGATGCCATATTTTACCTCCCAAACCAATTTTTCTACATCACACATCCTAATGAGAGAGAACTATCTTAAGGTAGAAAGCAAAGCATCAGTGACCTACCCGGATTTCCTGGAGATTATGAAAATTATTTCCTACTCTGACAGAGATTTTGCTTGGAGTGTAACTTTCATCAGATTTGTAGTCTGCATAAATGCACAGTGTCTTCACCGTTGTCTTCCTTCTGCAAGAAGCAACAAAAGCTACATAAGCATCATAAAGAAAAATATTCAGGATCAGGTTATTGCTAGCTTGCAATAATTAAGGATTTAAATGTTCTAAAAATGAATATGTGTGTCTACTGATTTGTAAGAAATTTCTGTTACAGAACAAGGTGGGTTTTTTACATTAGGTCATGTACACACAGTTGATTTTCATTGTTCTCCTCTGTCTGCCTTCAGAAATGTCAGAATACCAAGAAATGGGCCAAGATGCCAAATAAGCCCTTGTATGCAATGAAGCTTCTGTTTAGCTTATCAAATACGGGCTCTCTTGTTATACCAAGGAGTTCTCCAAAAACCAAATAAAGAAAGGTAACAAACATCTAACATCATCTTAAGTTTGGTTAAAGAAAAAGTACTGAAAGCATCCTACACAGAATTGAATAAAAAAGGTTTCTCAAACTCAGTTATCAGGTTATACACGACTTTGTTGTAACAATCACCTATCCTTCAAATTACTCTCAAAGACAAAGTTTGGATAAAAGTCATCTTAGGTAAGTAAATGTGACGCTGTCACAAATGACATACTATTAAACGGTTTTTTTATTGCTTATTTAGGCATTTAGTAAATCATTACATTTGAAAATCTTATTTTTATAAACGCCATCTAACTGGTTTCTTAGCAGCTGGGTAACAGGATTAATGATGGAGTCTTTTCACTTCCAAAATTCCTGTCTTGGTGAACAGTAATCAACACAAAGGTATATAAAACATCCTAACTCATAGGGAGTATTTTTAATACCTAAATTGGATGTTCACCAAATGAGGCTGTGATCCATCTGACTGCCAGTAAGTTTCTAGATTATCATCTCGTAACTGATCCACTCCAAACCCTAAGAAAAAGAACATGTTATAGTCTTGAATATTCCATTTCCCTGATGCAAATGTAGCTTTTCTTCAGCTGTTACAAAATAATGTAGCCCAAGGTATAACATAGAAGGAAATATTCTAGATACCCCAGTTGTGCCTATGCTTTTCTGACACAAAACTAAAACAGAGGAATCTGTGAAAACTCAATACTGTTGAAGTCTGTGGGGTGTGAAACCATGTCAACATGTCCTGGAATTTCAAATGGTTAAGTAGTAATTCATATTGATTGTAAGAACATTAATTAACAGTTAGATTTTCCCACTTATTCTGTCATTTAACTGCTGAACTAAGGCAAAATCATTAGCAGAGACCATTCATTTATTATAAAATTTTAGCCAAATGTAACATTTTCAAGTAGCCTCCTGAAGTATTTTTGCTTTTTCAAGTTACTAGCTAGAACAAGCAACAGATGGGAAAAACAGTGCTCCTGAAAGTTAATGCCATCACATTTAAGGAAACAACTCCAAATCTATATTTTTCCATCTCTTCATTATCTGTCCTTTTACTAATCACAACCTTTTATTGATTGCCCACACTAGTTGCAGTTCTAATGTAGCAGTTGAAGTTGAATCTGCAATAAAAAAATTACTTTCCCCATGTTTAAGAAACAAAACCACACGATATTTTTTCTCCAAGTAAGCTTCCAGGATATCAGACCAAAAACGTTCAGCCTGAGCACAATATTATGACATAAAGAGATCATTCTCTTTAGGTTGCAGCAAGATACAAGATAAATTCCCAACAGCTATTTTTGAAATAGCAAATATAACACCCCAAAGGAAAAGAATACAGATCTTCAGATATTTTGAGCAGGTATCATTAACTGCACTTCAAGGCTATTTACAGTAGTTTTATTTTATTTGCAGGGTTTTAGGGAGCTACACTATAATTGCCAAGTCCACACAAAGTTTAGACAGAACATTTAGGTCACCCAACTGCATAGTTGCTTTTTGGTAAAAATTGAAGACACCCAGGCAAGATGCCAAAGCATAGAAACAACTACACAGTGCTGGGTGGGTTTCTGCTCACATGGTTTAGTTTGTTCACTGTGCAAGTAAAACAAAAAACTCAGTTTAGTATAAAATAGGTAAAACATCTGTTAACATGAGATAGTAGGATTTTACCTGGCTTACAGGATGAAAGGGACCAAACCGCTTGTGAGCCTATTTCTCTAACAGTACCAGTCCTCTCTAACTGCTTTGGATCAGCACCAGGTGGTGTCTTGTTTGGGGTGGTCATTTCTAGTAAGAGAAAACAGCAGTGAGTTAGTTGACACATTTTTGGCTTAATGGGAAAATTAAAGGCTTGTGTTTGTTCACAGACCCTTTAATTCTTTGGCCTCACACTTAGATAATAGCCTATGGAATATATGGTTTATACATATACACATACATGCACATATTTTTGCATGTCTGTAGAACCTTTTATTTATACATGTATAAGGTAACATATATAAAAACATATAATATAAGTAGTATAAGAGGTTCCACGTATACATAAATTTTGTGTCCTTAAAAATCCAACACATACTTGGAACATTCATTAGACCTATTTTATTTGTATCATTCTAATTTACACATACAGAGTTAGTCAGGGGTTCAGGATTTGGTTTTTATGGTTCTGTACAGACCTTGTTGATTTAAAGGCTAACAATACAACTTCATTCCACCTCCCTTCCACATACACTTAAAAATTTTACTTAATCTGCAAGTTCAGAAACCTATTCAGAAACTACAGCAAGCCTGTCCTGGAGATACTGCTCCTTAAAAATAGGAAATGAGAGTTTAAACAAAGTGTGTAGTCTCTAATTTGTGACAACTGGTTATAGCCACATTTATCCATGGTTCATTTCCTTAACTTCACAATTTCATCTGGAATCATTACCTGTGACTTGCACTGCTCAAGTAATCACAGACAGTCTCAACACCCAGACTACCACCACATACACTACAACATAATCATGCTGGCACCCATTTGGTATAGAACACCTTATTACTTTCTAGGAAGTACCTCAAAAAAACCCAACAAAACAACAAACAACAACACACACAAAAGCATTCCAGAGAAGAATAAGTTCCATGAAAGGAACTACATTAAAGCTTAAAATTAGACATACAGTGCTCGAGTCAGGGAATTAGAGGTGACTTCTCATCCTTTGCTCACATGCATCACATCACACTGTGCTCTGCTATTGTCAAAAAAAATCTTCCAGTACCTCACCCAGAGAGCAAATAAGGTACCGAACCAGGCTGATATCCACAGGATCCAGACCTCACCCACTACAGAAGTGGCACAAGGTAGAGACAAGATTTTCTGTGTACTAATAACTTTGCAGCTAAAAACTCTCTGTGGGACACAGAAAACCTGACTTCTGTAGTGCACATCACTCACTGCACCAAACACCTTCTACTGGCCCTTGGCTATTTAATTTTTTTTTAAATTGTCATACATATGACTTGAGACAGAATTGAGGGGTTTTTTCTACTTTCTCATACAAAACTGCAGCCCTAACTACCATAAAAAAACTGAATAAACTACTGTATGTATAGTGAAATTTAAATACTGAAACAGCAAGTGTCCCAAAAGGCCATAAACAAAAATCTTATTCCAACACCATTCTCTCAGAAAAGTTGAACACTACACAATTAATCCTACAGATATCACACATACATGTTCACAGACATGGTAATCCTAATGCCATCCAAATAAAAAAAAAAACCTCATACAACAAGATGTTTTAAAGTCCTTGCCAATGTAGATAAGTTTTGTTCAAAAAAACCATCAGAACTGTTGCTGTTATGTCGTGACAGTCCAATAAAAAACACATAAGAAGGCTGATTTAGGGCAACATAAGAAAAGGCCTCTTCTTCATTAAAATCCCAGCTCCTTTTATATCATTTTCAAAAAACAGCAAGTAAGCAGTAAGTAAGTAGCGAGCAAGCAATAACATCCTAATTGGCCACTCATCATTACTGAAACACTTGGCAGCAATAGTGAGACACCTGGAGATGCCCAAGGACAAGGCTGTGGTTCTCACATACCAAATCTACGGACTCACAGTCCACCCTCACTCCCCAATTAGCCTGTGTGTAAAACTTATTTATTTTCAAGGCCACACTCGAAAGTTTCCCAAGTCAATTTCTTCTTCTAGGGAGTTAAAAGACCCGCTGTTAACCCCTACACAGAACTATTAAAAAAACTAAACTGACAATCCATTTAGCTATTCCTCTAAGGATACACTAGCACGTATGTTTTCCCTAGCCACTGCATTTAAATAGTGCATTATCTGATTTAACACTTCTATCAGATATTTACAATAGGCTCCTTAAAACACAGCTTTAATAAGAATTCTTTACTGAATCAGCGACACTACAAACCTGTATATATCTGGTTGCTACTTAATACAACTTTAAATTTATTAACAGTGATTTCATTAAACCAACACGTCACAAGTAGTCTAATCCTCTAAGAATACAAAACAATCTTGGAAAAAAATTACAAAAAAGTTCATAGCTACTTCAAAACCAAACCCTTTTCACAGAATCACAGGATGGTTTAGACTGGTGGAAGGTACCTTCAAAAATCATGTAGTCCAACCCTCAACCTACACCAAAATTCAGATTATGTTTATTAACCACTGGGGAGAGTATTTTTCTGGACTCATGAATTTTAAAGCTCAAATTACCTCCTAGTGCAAACTTTTCTATTTTTTACTTTGTGGCAATAAACTAAGAAAGGTTGAGTTGCATTCATTTAATTCTCATATTTTTATAGAAACCACTTTTGAAAATAGAGAATTCAACCTCACAAAGTAAAATTGTTATTCATTTTAGTTCAAGTGATCACATCTCAAAAACATCATATAAAACATCTTCTGAAAATCATCATCAGCGAGCCTTCGATCTCTTCTGACTTCAAGAGAAAATGAATGAAAAACTCCAAATCTGATACTCACATGTTCATTCCTAGAAATAGCTATTGTCAGATACCCACTCTTTAAAACATCAGAAGTATGTAAACATTCTATCAAAACTCACCAAAATGAGTCACAGAAATCACCCTGTTCACTCAGATTATATCAGAAAGTTGATTACACATGCTTTCAGAAAAAATTACTGGAATTTTTAAGTCTGCAGAATCCCTTAAGACAACAGTGTTGAGATTTCTTATAAGCTTCAGTGCACAGAGAAAAGTTCTAAATAATTTAACACTGCCAGGATTTGTATTGTAATGGCACTCAAAAATTCGAACCAATCATTTTGGGGGTCTGAAACATAAAGCAAGAAACACCATCCAAGATTTCCAATGTTTTAAACTGAGCTTGTTTCCTTCTATCAAACTGGCAAAGCTACTCAAAATCCAAATTCCAACTCCAAACCACTGCTGGCAAATAAATCAACCACATAGTGTGTACTAGTGATGCAAAAGACTGAAAATCTTTAATGGTTGAACTGATTGAGTCAGATTTTTATGACAGAACTCCTGTTTAACTAGTTCAGGAACAAGATAGCTAAGGAAAAATAATGCAGCAGCAGCTCATTCAAGTAACAATTCTGGACATTTTCCTAGCAGAAGTAAAAGTACCTAATTTTGAGCAAGACATAGACACTTGGCTTTAAATGTAATTTAAGTCACCTAATAAAACTTTTCCCAGCTTTTTCAGGCTGTGTAAAAACAACTAACCCTTCTAGAGACCCTTCTTCTTGGCACATGCTGAAAACTGGAAAGACACGCCACATCTATAGAAGCGTTGGCTGGAAACACCTCCAATTTTCCAACTCAGTTATTCCAAAAGATTATTAACAAGCCATTGCTTCCTTATTAGCAACATTAATATATATGAATGTCTTAATGACATGATCAAGGCCACACTTCCACTTTGCCCCTTTCCAGTATAGGTTATGCACATCCTTTGATCAAGACAAAGCAGTGGATGAGCTTTTCCCTCCCCACCTATAACTTTATCCCTCACCATCTTCCTCAGAGAAGTTCGCTCTTTTCCAGAGAACATCCCATCCCTGTGGAGTATTAGCCATTAAAGATATTTTAGCAAGCACGCAGAGTGAAACGGATTGAAATGGTTGGACAGTCTGCCTTTCACAGCCAAACCAGATGGGGCACACTCAGTGTACCGGCACAAGATGCCTTTAGAAGGTGCTATTCTGAAAGCAAAGGACACACACACTCCTCCCATAACACACTGAGCAGGAGACACAAAAGGATACAGGCCTTTCCTCCTAAAGCTCCATAAAAATCCAGCCTCGGGGGACCTTGCAGATTTCAAAGCAATTTTCCCCAGTTCAAGTTTCTAATTCCACCAAGTTATTACACACAGAACTGTTCAAACCCACACCCATAAGGGCCCTTGAGAGACCAGACTGCCCTTAACAGTATCACTTTCTAGAAACAACCATGATTTCTGCTGCTGCTCTACAGAGAACTCCAGGACTAGTTAATCACTGGCCTTTACGTAGCAACCCTTCACATATGTGGGGGCCCTCTCCAAATCTGCTCTTTGTTTCTTCTTTTCTAGTGTGCCTATGTCTCTCAAGCTTCCCTCACAAATCAAGTTTTTATAAACCTAATACTCTTGCAGAGTCTAGGTATCTACGTACTATTGTTTAAGAAAATAAACATGCCATTTTAGCTAAGGCCCTTATTCAACAGAGTAATCACTTTACTTCAATCACACTAGTTAACATGGCAAAATAACACCTGTCTAATTGAAAGAACATATTATCAATTTATATTTAATTTACTATGCACTACAGTTCTCAAATGCTTTTTTGGGATACTGTTTACCGTTCACTTCAGCCTTTCCATTAATCAGGCTTTTGATTTTTTTTCCCTGTGTTCTCTTCCTCCCTCAGTTCTTGTTAACTGAGCTTAGGTACACTGATTTCCAACCTGCTACCTATTTTCTCAAGATCATTTTGAATTCCAACCCTGAGTTGTACAGTGCTTCCAATTTGGTAGCATATTTATTTTGTGTTCCTCACTACAGAATATAATGAAAACACATTCAAAGCTGAACTCACCAGGAGCACACTTTGTGACACCCCAGTTTAAAAGTGAGGTTTTACAAGTCAGCTTCAAAAGCAATTTTTCAACCAGTTGTATGAGATCTTAAAATATATATATATTTTTAGACCACATTTCAGTAGCTTGAACAATGGCAGAAAATGTATAAAACTCAACTTATATTCCTTTCTCACTATATGCAGTAGCTACTGCAAAAAAGAACTTCAATCCAGACTGCTCTTAAACCACACTAAAATATTCCTGTTCACACACTGATTTTAATTGTCTTCTACTTACTGACAAAGTCCCTTCCCAAACCATTTCCTCAGAATCTTTCAGGGGATCAAAGTTCAGCTAGCTTTGCTGTTAAAAAAAAAAACAAACCAACACCTACTCTGATTGCATTCATCATCATATAACTTTTGTGAGTTTTAGAAAATATCTGACTACGGGTTTTCCAAGAGAATTGAACAAAGGCTGCACTGACTACACCAGTGCTTTTGCAACATCCATGACTGTTTTTCCTGTTCTTCATAACAGAAGGAAATTTCATACCTTAGATTCCCTGGTTTTCTTAATTGCACTATTCATCTTACATCACAAGCTCTTTTCCCTGCTCTCATTTTCTTTGGCTGGACCCTTGCTGGTTTAAGGCCTTTAAAGATCTCCAGATATATTTAAAAACCAGACCCTCATTATGCTTACTATGTTTTATTCAGATGGAGCATTAAACAACAACATTAAACATTCAAATTACTAATATTTAATTAACATTTAATACTGACAGTAAGCATTCAGTAGCACCCTATTGCAACAAACGTTCACCTGAATGTTCAGCTTCTCAGATTATTCTCTCAATACAATTCTAAACACTTATTATTTTTACTCTGCCTTCAGAGCATCACTTTAAGCCTACTACTGAAAATTACTAGTCTTTCATTGTCACAAATATATTTCACTAAAACTAAGGGTTTTTAAAGCAACTGCACAATTGAACTACATTAGCGATTTTATACGTGTATCCCTGATAAATCTAAATAAATATTGTGGGTTTTTTAATATTCTTTTGTGAAAGCCAAGACTTCCAAACTTACCTGGTAAGGATGTAAACAGTTCATTAAAGGATTCGAGCACTTCTTTACAACTCACGAGAAGTGTAAACATTAGGTGGAAGCCGCCTTTGAAAACCACAGCACCCAGAGGATGAAGTAGCTTTGACAAACGAGGAGCTGCTTTCGCTCACGTTCCTTGGTAGCCCTCCCCACACACTTCTTGCTTAATTAACGAATTTTACAACTCCGTAGCCCACAGGCCTGCAAAAAGTTTAAATATCGATAATAAAGCAGCAACACCCCGGCCGCGCTGGATCCCCAGCTCCGGGGCCCCGCTCTCCCGCTCCCGAGACACTCGCGGGAGGGACTCGCTCGGGTAGCCCCCGATCCGGGCACCGCCTCAGCCTGCCGAGCTCCCGCCTGCACTGGGTATCCCTCCTCTTCCTCCCTACCCCTCCCCTCAGCCCACCTCCGGAGCCGCAGCTCCCACCTTTCCCACCTTTCGCACCTGATCCCGCCGGGAGCCGCCGCCGCAGCGATGGGCGGAGGCGGCGGTGAAAGGCCGCAGGGCGCGCGCGCCGCCCCGCCCTCCCTCAGGCGCCGGGGCCGCCCCTCACAGGATCCGCGTCCAGGGGCGGGGAAAGAGACCCGCTGGAGCTTCCTGCGTTGGTTACTCGTGTGCGGGAGCGACCGCTGGGCGTGCTTAGTGTTGGATTCGGAATGCGAATTCCGGTGGTGGGCTCTTGCTAGTGCTTGGAAGTGCTCCCCTGGGGGGGAGGGGAAGGGGGGCGAGCGCGCAGCCCCGGTGTGCCAGGTACAGGTGACGGGCTGCCCGGGGCAGGTGAAGGCTAGCGGGACCGTTCCGTCCCAGTGCCTTCCGTGTCGTAGCAGTCCCCGGGGGTGTCCGATACTGAAGCTCGGCTCCGAACGCCGAAACTGCGGCCGTGAAAGGAAAGGGCAGCGCCTCTCCTTGAGAGAGGAAACACCCGCTCTGACTGTTATTGCTGCCTGTGATCATCTACGCAGCGCGGGCTAAAAGGCCAGCAAGACCTTTCTGTGCTGGAACCCGGCATGGACATGGGTCAACACGGCTCTGCTCGGGGAGCCCCACACCGGGAGGCGCCGCTCCCTCCCCACAGCCCAGAGTCTCAACGGCGAGAGCCGAACCGCCCTTCCTTCTCTCCTCCCCTCCTCTCCACGATGATGGCGCTCTCCCATCCCTCCCTCTCCTGCTCTCCCCGCCCCTCGGGCGCGACGGCCATCTTGGCCGGGTGGCGGCGGAGCGAGCACGTTGCGCGCGCGGGCCCGCGCGCGGGATCACCGGACGCCGCTCCCTCCCCACCAACCCCCCGCCCCGCCCCGGCGCGAGGGCGCCGCGCGCGCTCCCACCCCCGTCGGCGCCCCCGCTTCCCCCGCACGGCTCCCGGTGAGTAACTGGCAGGGAGTTGCCACCTTCCCGCACGCTAGGGAAGGGGTCCCCCTCCCCCCTGCCGTGCTGCCGGCCCGGCCGCCGCCGCCGCCTGGCCGGCGGCCTCGCCCCCATCCACCGCGGGAGAGAGGGTTCGGCTCACCCGCGCTCCGAGCGGGCCTCGGCGCTGGAGGCTCCCGGGAATCGCGGCTCAATGGCGACGTGGGCACGGCCCGGGCCGGCACCGCTCGCACACGCGGCGCGTCATCCCGCCTGCCTTGGGTTTTGTGCCAGCTGGCGTCAGGGAGCGCCGTCCCTGCCGCTGCTCCCGGCCGCAGGAATGGCTTCCTTGGGAATGCTGCGAGGGCTCCTCACCTGGCTCTGGGAAAGGGAATGCCGGCATTTTCTTCCTGGGAAAGCGGGGGACTTCCTCCTTTTGCGGGGGGTGGGGAGTGGAAAGCCATGTTTTTCGAGCTCTGGGGAGAGGCCGGTACCCACGTGGGGCGGTGAGGAGATCGAGGCCTCTTGCGAGTGCCATAATGTGGAAAGGGTAGGACTGTTTTTTACAACATACGTGTAAAAACTAAAGAAAAGCTTGGCAGGGCTTTTCTCAAGGACCATGATGGTGTTTTCTCTATGGAATGCACTTGGCCATTTCACCTGCGAGTGCCTGTGACAGTTTTCACGTCCTAATCCAAGTTTCACTGCTGTGGTTGCCTAAACTCCAGTCCTAAGGAAGTGGTCAAGAAATACTCCTTGTGGTAGATTGCTAATTAATGGGTTCATTCTCACGCATTTCACTTTATGTTTAAAGGAAATATTAAAGATCAAGTGATAATTAATAGTGTTCAGCACCACCTAAACACACCCACTCGTTCTGCAGCATCAGTATAATTGACCATATGCTTTCATGTTAATGTTGTATTTTCGTATGCATGTCGTGTCCTATGAGTAACATAATGAGTTAATACAGTAGGTAAATTTGGGACATGTCTAAACTTCATTTTTTTGCATCATCTCAATTTCAAAAACAAGCATCAAAAGCTTAAGCATTGACTAGTTCTTAATTCTTGGTGGATTTTATTTGTTCTTGTACCATTTACTATTGTTTCTGCTTTGACACTTAGCAGTGAAGTGATCTTCCATATGCAGTTGGAAAATCTGGTTTGTCTTTCATTTAAATATTCTTTGGGCATTCTAGTTCTTAACTTTCTTGTTACGGAGTGACTGTATGTAGTTCATCAGCAGCAGAATTGAGAGGTAATTCTTGAGGTTAATTGTTTTCAAAGGAAACTGGAAATGCTGCTCATCCTCACTTCTTTCCACAGCATTTATCTTTGAGGTCCTGATGGAACGTAATTTTATAAAATGTTCAGTTTTTGTGCAGAAGAACTAAAGTATGGCACAATTCTGAACTGAGACCTTCGCATCTTTTCATTGAACAGTCTTTGCTCCGATGTCAGTCGTAATTTACTTTTTTTAGTGATTCTTTAAGTTTAATAATTCAATGCAGTTACGAATCCTTCTTGGTCATAATTGCCTTGCCTTAGTAAATTTTAATTTAGGTCCAGTGCCTGTGAAAGAAATAAATATTAATACAAGTATGTTACACTTGTTCTACAGATTGTATATTTCTGTTGCCTTTTGTGATAGATAACAAGGCCTGTATATGTGCTACTTCTTTTTTTTTTTAATCTGGTGTGTCAGAGCATGCAGCAGCTGTGTCAGACAGTCAAGAATGCCGAATTGTGATAAAATGTTTTATGTCTTATTTTCAGACATGTTTTACTTTTTGTATTAAATGACTTAGTGGGCAGCTTTGGGCTTCAATAAAAGACAGTGTCAAGGTTTTTAGAATGTTTTCTTTTGCCAGCAGTTTTTATTCATTTTCTCACTCTTTCACCTGTGTTGTCAGTCCATCATTCTGGGGAGATTTTCTGTTGCCACTACAGTCATTCAGTAATTCGAAACAGTGCTTTACTCGTGTAGTTAGTAACAAATTGATATTTTCATACTGGTTTTTGTTCTGTTCTTCTTGATTTGAAAAGGAGAAATGCAGTCACGAAGTTAAATGCTTCTGAGTACCAGTTTCTCCTGCCCCCTTAAGTGCTGACTACCCTGAACAGTTCCTGGTGTGCTGTGCTGTAGCACTGCTGACCTGTGCAGTGTCTTGAGAGTTCTGCTGACTACACCTTGAATCAGCCCATCCCATGCAATATGTCAACTTAAATGCCACCCAACTGACTGCACATAAAAATATAACTTGAGTTCAGTCTGGGTTTGGACAGTTGGTTTATTTTGCTTCTAAGTAGAAATTACCAGTTGACATTGTAGACATCAGCACAGTCCTGGAAATATTGCAGGAGTGACAGAAGTCACAAATATTATTTTTCTGAAAAAAGTTCAAGAGCACTGGAGAGTTTTGGATAAACTGACACTTTCATCATGTAGATGGGAGCAGGGAGGCAAGACTGTATGTCTCCATGCTGGTTCATTAGTTCTTTTTGCCTCCACTGAGTACTTTAATAAATGCGTATAAATAAAGGTGCACATACTTACTTTTGTGGCCCCTTCAAAACTATTCACCGCAAATGGGCATTTTTCCCATGTAAGTGAGTTAGAATTAAAACCCCCCCAAACTTAAGCTGTTTTGTTACTTACCAGCCAGGGGTTGATTCACTGCTGAGTGCAAACTTCAATGGGATTATCCTGCCTAGACTGGGTGGGAAAGCTTGCTGAGAAAGGTGGCAAGAACTGATTGTTTCACCCTGTATGCCCCCATCCCACTCTTCTGCTTTGGAGCTTTAGGTTAAACACCATCTGGAGCGGTGGGTGACTGAGGGGAGGGATTGTCTGGGCTGCTATCGGCACTGCTCAGGCAGGAGCCTTGAGCAGAGTGTGGGGGGCTGGGACAGGTTTGTCTTCTGGAAGTTGCTTTTGTAAGTCACAGAACGGGTTTCAAGCTTGTTGGAGCCCTGCCTGGAAGATACAGTAGGGTCTGTCTGCTCAAGTCTCGTTGGAGAAAAGGCTGGTCCAGGCACTTCCTTTGGGAAACCAGAGGGTGATTAACCCCCAAATACTCTGTGCGCTGTAAACTATAGGATTTCAATGAAAAGCACTGGGGTCTCTTCCCAAAGAATGTATCTTTTTTTGAAGTAATGACAAAATCCAGTATCTGTCCCCAAGAAAATGACCCTGACTCAAACATCTTTGTAGTCTTTAAAAATAAGGCTTTCAGTTTCTTGTTTTCTTATCTATTAAAGTGAGAACTGCAAACTCATTATTCCCTGTCTGTTGGCCTGGTGTAGGGATGTAATTTCAATGTTCAGCCCTACTTTATCAGTCTGGTCTGACAGTGAAGAATTGTTGAATCACTTCTTAATTTTTATTAATGGTCATTTTAAATCATCAGCTACGTTGGTAGGACTTTCTCGCTTAGGAAACTTAAGGTATTAAAGAAAAAAATTGAAATTTTGAAAGTAGAAACTGCCACAATAAGGTTGGCAGCATGACTACTAGTTATGTTCATTTATATGATCTGACGAAGAATTACCTCTTGATATTAGTTTAAAAATAATTTGGAAATTGAAAAGAGGAATAAGACTACCACTTTAAAAAGGAACCACTTAAAATATTCATAACTATGGTAGTAGTGGATTTCAAGATACAATAACATCTGCTTTTCTGACCTTTGCTTATTGTTAGATGTTGGTCTCTTCCTTCAGGAATTTGAAAGTCACAACCTTTCTTCATATAATAGCTGTATGTAGTAAGTATAGTCTATAAACTACTGCAGGATGCTTTAGTTTGGTGAAGCAAAGAACTGGACATCCAACAGAAAATACTTCCTTTAATTAAAAAATATTGGAATCCTTTTCTTGGGTGAAGCTGCACCTTTGGACTGTGGAAACCTGAAATATTTCAAGACTCCTTTCCTGTTGTGTCATTGAACTACTGATA